GGCGTCCTATAAGGTTTTCAGTTCAGTTCAGGTCAACATCATAAACAAGGCGTCTTGACGGTGCCGAACAGTGCAGAGAGGCCAATAATTTTTTTGTCATTTAACATACATGTGTATATGCGCATGCAAGTCATTACCTTTGTACGGTCTGCATATACGGTAATGTTTTGCTGCATTAAAAGTTACAATTGCCCACATCGCATGTGGCAACAACTTCCAATGTCAGAGCGCTGAGGCAGTGCTACATAGATCCCACATTGATATCTGAGCAGCCGCCCGTGGCCAATGTGTTGCGATAATGGTATTAGCTTGGTCACCTAAGAGCACACAGCAAAGAACTATGTACATGTGTAGTGACATAGAATGGGTCACTACGGCACGTAGCGCTGGTTTCTGACAGAGAGAGGAAATGTGGGCGTAACAGCCGACCTGCCGGCAGAGCAGGGTGTAGCAGCCATTCTACCAGCAGAGCATGCAATGCCACGGAGGGGGTCACTAGGGTGCGTAGCGCTGGCTGCTGGCACAAAGGGGCATATGAGGACGTAGCACTCCGGCCGGCTTACAGAGCACGTGATAGGCTGTGGGGCAAAGGTGACCGGGGGGACATGTGAAGTATAGCCCACCACCTTCTGGTGGGTTCCAGAAGAGGGCGGAGCCAAGGGCGGAGCCAGGCAGGGGACACGTGGAAGGTGGCCCAGAACCTTCTGGTAGTATTCCAGAAGGGGGCGTGGCCGAGGGTGGAGCCAGGCCACGCCAGGGGGCATAAAAGGGAAGTCCCGAGGCTGGATCAAGGCTGCTCTGTCGCTGGAATGGAACCCAACATGCTTCGTCTTCGGCGTCGTGGGTCAGGCAGCATTCCAGCTGCTCTGACCCGTTTATAGTTGTCCCGTGTGTGAACAAGTGTTAAATGTGTAGAATAAACGTGTGTTGCCTCCTACTATTAGTGTCTCAGAAGTGACTCACTATACATGTTCGTTACGATTTTCTGCTCCCCTCAATTATTTGGCATCTACAACCAAAATCAAAGAGAGCTTCGGGATTAACTGTCCGAATAGTTTTTTTTTTGTCCGTTACTGCAGACAAGACACCAATTCACGAGAGCATGATGACATACGCTGAAATGAAATGCACTAATGGTCAAATGAAGTGGCAGCTGTTACAAAAGGATTTTGCAGTAAATGGAGGAATGAGAACAGGAAATAATACGTTGGATATGAGCACCGAGCAGTAATCAACGAATGGGTACCGCCAAAGTGTAAGCTCTCATGAAAGCGTGAGGCATCATTTTGTGAATCTTTACATGAAAAGATAATGATTGTAAACTCAATCTGGCCGTCATATCATTGGAGCCGGAAAATGTGGGCAAATTTAAGCCTTGATAACTGATTTACTATCAAAAGTAACTTTAGCACAACTCGGGAAGAGTTTTACCTGGGTGTGATTTTCAAATGGCATGACCTATCAAATAACCGTAATGATGCCGTGAATAATGGCCAAGTTTACGTGTGTTGATGTGGCAGCTGATGTAATGTAAATATTTTTTTCCCACCATGGCTGGCAGAAGAATGAAAAATGAATTGCAACTCAAAAGTTTTTATCATGAATTAAGTACGTGTTTCTCTATGGTATGATATTTGTCAGTCAATTAAAAAAACACAAGAAAACAGACATACTTTGATTTCAAATATTTTACTTGCCATATGCTGCATGACAAATTTGAAAGCGAACACTTTCCATTAATTTGAATCGATATTTACAGAACCCTGAATTCAACAATTACAGGATCCTTCCCAAGGGCTTTCAGAATACATTTGTAAATGCATTGTAATTGTAAAAAATGTCATTATATTTTTTGTTAATGTGGCAAATGAAAATGTATCTTTGCTCAAAGGACACTATGGAAATGTTGCTCTGCAATGGCAGCCTGTGCCAGCAGTGGAAATTCCACATTCCCGGGGTGGGAACAGGTCTTTCCATACGACGGGAATCTCACCTTTCCACAAGTGGTACTCAATTTATTGATCCAGGAGAGATTGTAAGCTGAATCAACGCCCCAAACAGGATTTGAACTCAATACCTTCTGAGTCACACACTCAAACTACACACCACTCAGCATAAAGATGACAGCATAAGTATTTCATATATACATAATATATACACAAACTAATAATGCAACATTATTACGTTGATACTGCAGTGTTAGCAACACATTTATGGCACATTAATGATAAATTCACTTTGTAAATGCTGAAACGCAGGCATAAGTGCTGCTCTGAGTCAGGTATGATTTTCATACGCATGATGAAACGTGCACGTTATTTGTTTTTTTCTCACTCACAAAACGGAGCCCAGAGGAAGGCACCATCCCAGGTGTCATTACTCCGAGCCTAATTAGGCCGTTGCAAGCAATTACAAGGCCATGCTCGATTATGGCACAAATGAGTAGCTACAGAAACCACAGCCGTGAATGGACCAACGACACTGTTAATATTGTTTTGTTCATGAATGCTCAATTGTTCATAGTTAAATAGTATATGCTTTTCAATCTTAAATTGATGTGGGTTTTGAAAGTTTTATTACAAAGCGTCTGTAAACCAAACACGTTTTGTTTCACAATTTCTCAAAGTAAACATATATCACTGTTACTGTAAACTTTTTCTGGAAATGCAAAAGTAAACATATATCATTGTTACTGTAAACTTTTTCTGGAAATGCAAAATTAGTTTCTCTCATAAGTGAGCATATACATACGTGCACGTGTATATTCACTCAGGAAAGAGTGATGGTACGGTGGTCATGCACTTGCTCTATTAACCTAGGAACCTGTTTTTTATACTCCGACGTGTAGTATATCTGAACGAGTAATGGCGCATGGCACTTACTGACCAGGGTGGTGAAGTATGGTAAAAAAAATAAACATAACTAACATTGCCATATGGAGGGCTTCGTGCAGAAATGTCTTCGCAAAAGGCTGTACGTCAATAGTATTATTGTTGTTCATTGTACCGTTAAATATTCGGGCAGGATTAATATTTGTAAACTCGGATTGCGTTAATACATTTCGTCAGTGTGCCATATTAAGACAACAATTTTTTTTTATGTTATTTTAATAAATAAGCATTGGACAGAAATAGGATATCAAGAAGAGCTAATGATTTTCAAAAATCACAGAAAAACAAAACTGAACAGCTAATTATATTCTTGGTTCTTTCGTGACTTTACCGAAAGAACCAAGAATATGAATCCCTGCAGTCACGAAAGCTTTAAATCAAAATTGACAGCTAATTGTTTAAAATGTTTTAGCTGATATATTTATGGCTAATATATTTTAAAACCTTGATTACTGAAGATATAATATTTTGAATGATCCATGAGTGTCAGCAATACTAGCAATTGTTAAAAGCAAATATCGCCATGTTATGCATCACGTGAAAATACTGTATTTAACAAAACAACAAAGCTTGGCTCCCATGGTCAAAAATTTCAGCTTTTCCAAGCTAACAGTGAGAACTTTTAGATGTAGTTAATTTAGTGATGCAATTTTCAAAATACAACAATATATGTTTTTATGCACACATGAAACTGTAAATTTGCCTATGCTTCCATGTTATTAAATTACACAAATACGGTACTAGCCATGATTTGTGTGTACGAAAAGAATTACCCTGACCATTTCCAGTTTAATTTCAGCCCGTCTTGACAGTACCTAAATCATAACACAGTTCTCAATGCTAAACCTTCAAAATACATTTTCAGATTTTAATGGTTTAAAATGTATTTTGTTACACGTCTAGTTTTATATCAATTGCCGTTATATATACATATAGATAAAATGCTGCAATTATATATTTGTATCAATTGACCTTCATTTAAGACAAAGTCAATAAACACTTGACACATGAATATACCCATGCACCTGAAACAAATAAATAAATATGCCTTGACTTATAAAGAGAGGCAATATGATGTCTCCACATACTTCTTTGTATTCTCCTGAGTGGTTTTTATTTTCTTTGTCAGTGTCCACGCTTCCAAACCATATGTCACAGCAAACAATATGCCCTCAAGTAAACCCAGTTATACTGGGAGGAACCTCCTGGTTACACCAGCCCACAGGGGATTATTGTGTCCGTCCGTCCGTCGTGCATCCAAAAATGGGAGGGGTGGGGCTGGGTGGGGAGGGTGGGGAGGGGCTGGGTGGGGAGGGTGGGGAGGGGCTGGGTGGGGAGGGTGGGGAGGGAGGGGCTGGGTGGGGAGGGTGGGAGGGGTGGGGCTGGGTGGGGAGGGGCTGGTCACTCTGTGGTGCCCTTAGAAAACTCAACGTTTAACCTACTCACGCCGGCTTGTGCCCGCCCTCACAGTCGGGCATACTTGCTGAATACACGACGCCGCCGTTGACCCTGGCCATTGACCGAGCAACCCAACGTTCCTACCAGCTCCCTCCGCAGGAGAATGTGTTTGGCAGATATTTGGAATCCATCCTTGAGTCTGAGTCAGTTTTGCTAAGTATTTTAAACAGTTGTTCGTTGGCGATGGGCTGGACTCATGAGGGTGTGCAATAACAAATGTTCGGACTTAGTTACAAACGCAATGAAGTAGCCACGGTGCAAAATGCCTCTTGCAAGCGCATGTGAATATCAAGTCAGTTTACGCATGTGTGTTGTTGTTGTTTACATCATTAGACCTCCTTTGCCAGTACCAAAATATGATAAGAAGGTTTTCCCCCTTTTTTCTGGCAACAGCTGTACACCTTTTGGCGTCCTCTGGTTAAGCACCAATTGAGACGAGGCTCAAAAGAAAGCTGTCTCTGGTGTGGACCAATCAGTTTCAAGGACAATGCATTTATATTATCAGAGTGGTTTTTTTTGCATTTTGACCACAAGTATTGTGGTTAATGCACGCATGATTCCTCGTAAAAAGGTTTCAGTTTTGTTGCCAGAAAAAAGGGGAAAACCCCTATTATTATGTGTTGTTGTTTTTAAAAGAAGCAGCATCCTCACCTTTAGGACAGATGCACACGAAGCTTCCTGGGACCTCAATGCAGGTGCCACCATTCGTACACGGGAGAGACGCACACCGATCTATCGGAGCAGAACAAGTCGGCCCTATGGAGAAAAGAAAATAGAGCCGTTGAATTGTTACAAATTTCTGTCGTCGATTGACACTCACGTCTTGCCAAACACGTGAAGATATTTGTTGGAGAGACACGAATGGAAAACACATCAGAGGACGTGCACCGAGGGCATTTATTGAATGCGGACGGGAATCAAAATGATTAAATGAAAGAGGAGAATGAGAGCAGAGGTTGGAAGTGCTTTTGGAGAATGTAACCTGATATTGCAAAATAACATTGTCATTTTCCCCAAAAAAGTATAAAGTATGAAATCAATGCATATCATCTGTGTGACATGCTGGAGCTGAACACGAAAGCGTAGAGAGATGTGGAGTTGGAGTTACACTGCGGGACAAAGATAGAAACACAAGCACAAACTAAAAATATATATATATTTTTTAAATACCACCCATATTGACTGTTAAGACAGCTAAATGGGTTTTGGCAGGACGCAGTGTAAGGATGTATGTACGGCATGCATGACGAACTGCTTTTGCACCATACGTAGCCAAACCAGAAAACAAACTAAGGTGGTTTATGGTCGAGACCGATTTGTGGAGGGCAGCCAAATGAGGGCGGCAGATATGCAGGAGCGAGACGAACGGTGGCGTCACGGAGCCATGAGAGATGGAGAGGGCTTTAGGAGCCCTTCCCCCAGCAGTGGTAGTATTATGGCTGATGACGATAATGAGGAATTCTCGTGTATGTGAGCATACCCCTGTGTCAACCATGTCCACAGAACTTATACTGTGTATATTTCGAGGAAAGTTTAATGTATTCAAATTAATCACAAATTAAATAACGAAAAGTATCAAAGGACTGTGTTGGCGCTGGTGCACAAAGGCAAATTAAGGAAACCCACCACGTTCGTGGCGAAGGTAGAGTTGATAAATATGGTGATTATGTTTTAATTAGTGCTTTGTTCGGAAGATCCTGCTGAGAGTACTTTTCAACTTCCTTATCTATCAAGTATTTTTGCAAGTTGGGAATATGAGTGTCACAAATATATATGTGTATGTTGAATTTCTTTCGCACAGTACGTAGCCGACCGTGATAATCGGAGGTGGCTAAAAGATAAGTGAGCACAGGTTAACAATCTACTTGCTGTACTGTCATCCACCAGCACTGCACACTTGCTGCACCTCGACACACGATGATCCGCGCGCAATCCACCAGCTCAACTCCAATGCGCCGCGTTAAGGGGTGGGGTGGGGGGCGCATTATGTGAGCCAGTGGTGGAAATTACCACGGGGGGTGAGGGGGAATTAAATATTAAACAAAACTCTTACCACAGCAGGATGCAATGGCTGTACATTGGTAGATGAGCTTTGCTACGCGCGTGTCAGCAGAGCATGGCAGTGGCACAGGTGGATGCAGTTCCAAGCATAAAGGGTTGCCAGATCTAATTGAATTTCCATGTCGGCCCGTGTTTCTCCATTTGTATGTAAATCACAGCGAAAAGCACATTAAAAAAAAAACATCTGCTCGTTGATAGACATGAAGACAGCTGCAACGGAAGTCCCCAAGGCCCGGAGTCAACATTTATGCTGTAAAAATCTTTAGGCTAACATACTCTCCAGCCAATGAGAATCCCCCATCAGCTGGAAAACAAATGCGTGCAGTTTGACACATTATTTAAAAAGCGTGCTCTCTGATATATGGTAGCAGTTTCGAAAATGTAATATTTGTTGTCAAATGAGTTTCGTGACAGATGTGTTTCAGTTTGACGACACTTTGAGAGGCATATGCTGGAAAATAAGCATGCAAGACAAGCAGTGGTGTGTGTTTTGATATTGATGAATAAATTAAGCCAAAACTGTAACAAAAAGACACGCTCAAATTTCCTTCGTGAAATAATTTAAAGCATACACGATCAAATACAGAATTACTATATCACATATTTCCAAGAACCCAAGCTTTTAACAGATTACTCTGGATTGTAATAACTAAGTAACAAGCTTACAATTTCAAGTGCGATTTAAAAAAAAAATACGGTTCATGATTACACATAGGGTGCGAAGCAGCTCTAAAAAACCTTATAATGTTTATTTAATTAACCTCCGACCCTGGCTTAATTCTCCGATTGCTCCAGAATGCTACACAAGAGCACGCAGCTGCGTTCACAAGACCACACGGTACATCATTGTGAATCAGCGGAGAGAGGCGAAAGGTATTTTTTTAATAAGCTCGCTGTTTCGCCAGCCCTTATGCAAGAGCGAGCAGTTTAAAGGTCACCATTTTCACAACACCTTCATTTATTTTCGCATTTTTTTTGTTATTTGTACATTTTTACATAATGAAGTCACAAGAAAGTCCCCTGCTGAGATCTAAATGAGCAAGTTACGTTTTTTTGTCATGTGGCACATCACACAAGCCTTACTACTTGCTATTAAAGTTTGTTTCGTTCCCTGAACCGGTACAGGCATACGCGGGGTGCAATGTAACGCAATATCCCCACAATATCGCTGTCGTGGGGATGCAGCATTTGCAGACATTTGTGTCTTTGCTTGCGTGACTCCCTCCAATATTATTGTTGTTGTACAAAACAAACAAAAAATACAATGCATGTGGATATGCTTCGAAAATTTTAACCGAACGCTTAATGTGTGCTACCTGAAAAAAACTAAATTTAGAGGCATAGGATACAATTTACATGCGCTTTACATGCAGGGACCAGGATGTAAACTCATAATTGCTCGCATGAATCCTGCCTCGGAGTCGACTTCACCTCGTGTTCTTCACTGCAAGACTCGCAGGCCACTGGCGACCCCTGGGTGGCCTTTAGTGCGGCTCCTGACGTGTGGCACTCGACAAGACACAACACGTGTGAAGAACACCCCATCGTGCTGTCGAACCCCCAATGGTTACAAATGTGTGGCAGCCCTGGTGTCTTATCGGCAAAAGTGCACCCGCCCCCCGCCGCCTCTGAAAATGAGTGAAGAACACTGACTTAACCTGTCAATGAGTACCACTTTGTGAAAAGTCAATAGTCGATATTCTATTCAGGTACTGGTACTGCCCCTTTTCCATGGAAATGTGGCGTTTCCACTACTGGCTCAGCACCTCGAGCAGAGAAAGAGCACCGCCTTCTCCTTGTGGGACGAACGAGGCGGGGGGTGGGGTGGGGAGCGAGGCACTTTGACTTTGTGGCTTTGAGTTAACATGTCTTCTCTCACATTCACCAAATCAAAATATCAGCAATGCAGGCTCAGATCTCTCCGGAGATGCAGCCATCGGCGGTGCCCTACGGCAACCCAGCTGCCTCGGCGGGCAATTATTTTAAATAGAGCGGAGGTCACAGTACGAGTCTGGCCGCATCGTGTGCACACGGGTGCACAGGGGGCGCGTTGCACGCGAACGCTGGGAGCGCGCGAGGCTTCTCACGTCAAAAGAGCAGCAAAATGAAACGTTCAGCGGAGTCTTGCATCTCGGGCCGACTTTGAAAGTCTCGCGCTTTCCAAAAGGATTTTTTTTTTTTTGCAAAAGGATTTTTTTTTTTCCTTCCACGCGAATCAAAGCGGCGACGGCGGCGGCGGCCGCGGCCGCGGCATGCGGGCTCACAGAGGAACGCGAACAGCTTCACGAGAACCCCCCCCCAGGAGACGAAAGCCGCGGTGTGCCAAGAAACGGAGCGACGGGTGTCACCGTTACGGACTGACAAAGACGACCCACCCCCCACCCCACCCCACCCCCCGCGCCGCCCCCGCCGCCACCATGCCACGACTGGGAATGCGGCCTTGCGCACACGTTGATCTGATCAAATGCAATCTAAACACCGACCCCCTCGTTTGGGAATGTGTGACAGAGGGGTTTTTCCTTCAATAAAATCATATAAAAAGCGTAGATTCCCATCAATAGTGCAATCTAAGGTTGGCAAGATTGGTCGAGTGTTTTTTTTATATTGCCATCTGTAAACAATTCCTACCGATTCAATATTGCTTTTGACTCTACTTTCGCACCTCCGATTAGCACAGTTGGCTACATACGGGGCGAAGCAAGTTGAACATACATACCGACTTAAAGGTATTTTTTTTCTTTTCATTTTGAACATTGAAATGATATGCATTCTCACGATAAATATCTTCGGTATTCCTGCAGTTGCCACGCTTGGCTTAGCATATAGTGGCTTAGCAGTATATCGATTAATTGATATTGGCAATAACAAAAACATAGAGACAATACTATTAGTTGCAATATAGTCTACAACAAAAAACTATAGCTCGGTGAATACGTTGAATGACAATGATAATATGCCCGCATTTACACGGTTATACTCTGATAACTTACCCATGTATCCTGCGTGGCATTCGCATACAAACGTGCTTGGAGTAACGTCCACACAGCTCCCGTGCTCACACCGTTGCTCATTGCATGCCCCGACTGCTTCCGAACAATTCCAGCCTGATAACAATTGCAACAACAACAACAAATCATTTGAAAAATGTAATTAATATAGATAAACAAAATAAAATGTGTGAATAAATCACAGGACAAGGTGCTGCGGGGAGGGGGAAGTTGTAGCACACTGAGCTCTGGGTTTGATTCCTAGGCCATGGATAAGAGCCGTGGTGACTGTTGTCTGTAATCATAATTATGATGATATTAATTTCAACTTGTAACACGCCCACGAGCCAAGCGGGAGAATGACTCAGAGGCTCGAGAAAGAACCAGACAAGCAGGAAGGCAGCAGTCGAGCGGTAAGCCCACGCCAACAATTGCCCGAGCTCTGCGGTCCTCTATATATTAAGGTGTTATCGGCCAATTAATTGGTGTTTATATCCGAACTGGTCCCGCCCTGCCCTAGCTACACAAGCTCACTAACCTACGAAACAGCATAGCGAAGTATGCAAAAAAAAACCTCCATGACCAACACAGCAGTGATGACTGAGGGTTGTAATTCCAATTTTTTTATGTTTTACATATGCAGCATTGTATTTTCAAAACGTCTTTGGAATTCGTTTGTATGACTTTCCGGCTATCTGTGTTGTCATTGCAGTATTTGCAAGTTCATTGCAGTATAGCAATGTGTATAGCATGAAGTTATCTCCATGCTACTGAAAACTTGAAGGCAACTCTGTTCTGTTTGGGCCAGTATTGCTCTAATCCCGGCAACTATGAGCCACGTTCTAGAGGCAAGAGGGCTAATGTGTGAAGGGTATTATTAGGTATGTTATCAGAATCTTTATTTCAACTAGAGGAATCTGATGGACTTTTAAGCTCTTTTTCACATCTGTGAAAATGTACAATCAATTCACCACCCCCAACCCCCCAAGCAATGAAGTGAATTGCCATGATTCAGAGGCATCCTTCAAATAAAAATAATATTTTTTGGAACTGTGGTGTTGCAGAATTTCTATTGGCTACAGGGCTTACATGTGAACCAACTGCGTACACACTTTAGGAAACGTGAATGATTAATTATTACTCGCATGGCTTAATGCTTACATCATCAGCATAAGACTCGATATTGATGGGTGACTCAATGAATCGATACTGTCTTGTGATTATTATAGGATAATGCTGCATCATTGAAATCTGATGTGAAGCTTAAACAGCTGCTCTATCTTCAGATTAATAGTATCAGTCCAAGGAAAACATCATTAACATGATACCGAAATAACACCTGAGTCAAAAACATATCACTGAACACCGCACTATAACTTGTATCATTAATGTGATGGCCAATTCAAAATGCAGTGCACATTCCCCAACTGACAGCTAACTGAAATAGGACTCAGAACGCGTACTTCAATAACGTATCACTCCACACTCATGGTATTGACAGTGCACGTGCCTGGCATTGAGATCCTAATCTGAACACAATTCATGTTTCTACACGATGGAAGAGGAGTGTGTGGGGGGGGGGGGGGGTAGATACTAAACATCTGTAACAAAAAAGAGCTTTAAAGCTCATCGGATTCCCCCAGTATAAATAAATCTTCCGATTCTGACCTACACGTGTACCAATCGATGACAATTAAGCAGGTCAAGTTGATCGCAGACATTTCAACACCCTCCGCCCCCCCCCTCCCCCTTCCTTCCTCACCTACAAATCCCTCGGCACACTTGCACCTGTATCCTGACCCCGCTCCGCCCTCCGTCCGGGGGACACAAATCGCGCCGTTCCCGCACGGGTTTGGGCTGCAGGCTCCCGCCGCCGCCTCGCAGTGGGGCCCGGCGTACGGCTCGCGGCAGCGGCACCGGAAGGCGTTTGCCGAAGCGGGAGCCTCGCAGGCGCCTCTGCCCGAGCACAGGGCGGCGTTCCCCTCGACGGGCCCACACTCGTGGCGCCTCACTCTGACGGCCAAGCGCGCGCCCGCTTCGAGGCTCCCTTCGGCGGCGTGCGCGAAGCGGTGCGTTCCCTCGGCGAGCAGGTTCGGATCGAGCCGGCGAATGCCCGAGACGGGGCCGCCGAAGAGGGCCCAGCGGCGGCGGGGTTCGCCGGAGCTCCCGTTGAAGGGGCAGGAGAATTCCGACGTGGACACGTAGGCAGGGTTCATGGTCGTGCCGTTGGGTGCGATCAGGTACAAGTTGTCTCCAAGCTGCATGTCCAGCGCACACATCTGAGAGATCTCAGGATGCAAGAGCGGGGCGTTTTCCGTCGAGTCTGACTCGTTTTCATTCTGACACTTGGGATTGACATGGGAGCAAAGTTTTCCTGATGTTGTCCAGATGACGGTGATGTTTTGGGGCTCTTTGTGCCACTGTTTGACATCTTTGTCTTGGCACCCAGATTGAGCTTTTGCAAAGCTGTGCCATAGGGCGACTGTTAACAGGAAAGGAAGCCCAGAATGCAAACACATTTGCGTGCTCAGAGTGAGAAGCATATTTAATTGTGAAGTTTTTGCAATGCCAAAAATATAATGGAGAATTTGCATGAACGAAGGTTAAACGGGAAACCTTTCTAGCAATCAAGACATTGGTATCTTGAAAAAAAAATGACTGACTCTTGATGTTGTTATGCTTGTTGATTTTTTTTACGAAAAATTCTTCCAGCAAAATAATATATTTTTTCGCGCAATAATTTCAGAGGAGGTTCAAAACAAATTCGATTACTTATCACCCTCCATAGACGAGCGGCATCTAAAAAAGGGGACACACAATGCAGTGCATGCAACATATGTTCAGATAATTCGTTCAGATGTGATAGAGCAGCATACAGTGGCACAAAATTATCCAAATTGCGCTATTAAGCGCACACACTTTACATGCAATGTATTTCATCAATACGCAGCGCACCTTTGCACTTTAAACGCTCAATCACACGTTGCATCACATTTATCGTAATGCAAGTGCAAAAAGCTCACAGCCATTAAAACTCGGTGGTAAAGTATACGACCTCCCACCAGCAAAGAGCACTCGTCACGTGACTTCAGTATCTTAGTAACGGCGGCGTAAAGCTGCTTGTGGGCGGATTTCTGGGTGCAATTCTACGAAGCAGACGAGGGAGGCTTTGGAAAAAATCATTTGCAGATACTCCCTACATGGGCAAATAAGGACTCACTCAGGAAAGAAAATAAATAAACATATATACAGACACCTTCCTTCCCTCATTTTATAGCCACGATACCATAAAGTATTTGAATCTCGAGGCACATCTTTGAACCTTAGTGAACGCTCATGTATATATGATTATAGCTGTATGCAGTTATACTGAAATTAGAACATGTTACATCAACGGTAATTATCGAATATAGAAGGAGGACTTTATTGTGCTTAAATCAGCAGTATCAACACTCCAATGTTGTACAGCAACAATATCATGGTTTTCCATATTATTATTCCTATATATTTTTGTATCAATAACCTGAGTATAAACATATACGTTCAAACAACAGCAGGCATATGCAACATATACTAACAAAGGGCTCTATTGAATTGGTGACAATCAGCATTGGCTTGGCTTTCATGCAACAGGTGCCAGTGGTAGCTTACAATAAATTACACCCGACCCAGGAGCACTGTTTATTTAATTTAAATTCAGCTGTTTCAAACGTCTGAATATGTAACATGAAATATATCACGTACAATTTAAGCGTTCTAAAGCCACATCTCTCTATATTAAAATGAAGTAAGATTATGTGAAAAGACGAGTAATCTATTGACGTTTTGTTTTATCATAGCCAATGCTATAAATAAAGCAACGCCATTACAATTTGCTAAAATCACTGACTCCCAGAAAATAGAACCTTCATGTTATTATCCTGTCGCCATAATCCTGTGTCTCTTTGAGTTATTAACCAAACATATTGTGTATAATTATCAAGTCATCAAACAATTGCAAACTTACTTGTTTTCAAGACGTCTGCCGGTACTGATAAATGTCATGGTTTTTTTTTTTACATAGCATGAAAACACAAATCAATTAATACAAAAGGCAATACCGTGCGTGAACTGACCCTGTTTTATTTTACCGTCGCGGCTAAAACGTGGACGTGTTTTCTATACAGCAGGTGTTGTCAGATCAGCACCCCCGCTTACTGGACAGCAGCACTGCGCCTGCGCATGACGAACAAAGCCATGTTAATGAGGGTATTCTCAACGTGAGAGTGTTGTGCATGTGTGGGGAGCGGTGGCGCAGTGGTTAGCACACCAACCTACAACCTCGGAGGTGACTGACTTCGCTTCCCGCTCACGCCCAACATCAGTGACAAATATCTGAACTTGTGCTGAGCCTGCACTAGGTCGACTCAGCCTTAAATTAATATCTGATGCAGTTTGTAAAGATCCTTGCTGGGGAGACAAAGGCGGCCGGGTGTGGTGCTAACCACACCACTCACTTGTGTGCCACGTTGGCCTTCATAAGTGCTAGCTAACGTCACTTGCCCCAACGGTATGTTAAAGCTATAACAGGATCTTTATCTTTGTAAAGTTTACAGCAATAGTCTCGTGATTCAAATCGGTTCGGTGGTAATACATGAAAAAGCACTTAACATCATTGGAAGGATGTGAGTTCAGACTCAGACTCTATTTCAGCTGGTAAGGGCCATGGAGATAAGCAGTTATGTTGCAAGGACGACCATAGTCCAAGACTGTAAGCAGTGGCAGTCGAGTTACAGGACATTGCAGGTTGGGATTATGCAAACTAACGAGTGTAAAAACTAAATAATTTCCACCAAACATGTCAAGCTTACTCCACACAGGATACACCGTAAATAACGATTAAATATGAATAAAAAATGTTGAAAAAAGGACCTGCCGCAGACGTATGTAAATAACCGTATACACAGATTCAGACATAACGGAGTTTAATTATAACAAGTATAAGTGTGTCAGAGGTAATCCTATAGCATGGCCTTGAACATGCGAAAGAAGTTACATGTGGAATATCAAGGATGGTTATTAGGGCATTACAAAATGTAGGTGCTGCACAAGAGAACGCACTGGAACCAGTCTAAGTTCTTGATCTAGGATCGGTCACTGGGTAATCAGAGGTTCGTCTAAGGTTTATTGGATCTTGTAATGGATTGAGAATATCAGTTCAATCCTGGCCGAGTTCAAATCACTGTTGCGTCTCAGCTCGGCCTGTCTTCCTTCCAGAGTCGATGGGTGGTTGTTTGACCATACTTAGCCTCGCTTACTTATGTGGGTGGGTGAAGGTCCAGAACTGGTTCCACTATCACTCGCCGCTTATGTTAGCCATGGCCAAAATTCAACTCAGGCTACCGGGTCCATCGTGCAGTGTGTAAAGCACTGCGCCACAACTCTGCAATATCCCCCCACCACCACCTTCCCAACTGAAGCAATTAGATGTTCGTAATGGCAAGCATGGCAAGTATCTCAACAACGTCTTCTCGAATTTCAAAAGACCAATGCACCATTCTGCTGTTCAAAAACAAGCATTTGTATCGCCTGCCGACTGCTCCCTTCAGAACAAATGGCACTAAACAAGAGCGTTAAGGTTGAAACTACTGTAGATTCGAAGCTTTCGTGACGGCAGGAATTACTCTTTGGTTATTTCGGTATTAAGGGCCTCGACGGACGTGGATATGGATCATATCAGCGGCGAGGCTGTTTAAAACAGCAACCTTAACGCTCTTTGGTTCGTTAAGGTTGCTGTTTGTAACAGCCTCGCCGCTGATATGATCCATATTCACGTCCGTCGAGGACCTTAAACACTTCAAGTCCGGTCTCAGCAGCTTGCACACACTGTGAACGACATCAGCCTGACATATGTTAAAATAATATATTTCCTGGCCTGCCTTTGGAATTAATCCCAATGGTAATTTAAACACATTGTACATCTGAACACATTGTACATCTAAACACATTGTACATCTAAACACATTGTACATCTAAACACATTGTACATCTAAACACATTGTACATCTAAACACATTGTACATCTAAACACATTGTACATCTAAACACATTGTACAATCAAACACATTGTACATCTAAACACATTGTACATCTAAACACATTGTACATCTAAACACATTGTACATCTAAAAACATTGTACATCTAAACACATTGTACATCTAAACACATTGTACATCTAAACAAACACATTGTACATCTAAACACATTGTACATCTAAACACATTGTACATCTAAACACATTGTACATCTAAACACATTGTACATCTAAACATATTGTACATCTAAACACATTGTACATCTGAACACATTGTACAATCAAACACATTGTACATCTAAACACATTGTACATCTAAACACATTGTACATCTATACACATTGTACATCTAAACACATTGTACATCTAAACACATTGTACATCTATACACATTGTACATCTAAACACATTGTACATCTGAACACATCGAAACACTGCGACCCGTTTGCACATGGAAGTGCATTTCCTCACTGTACAGCATCGAAGGCTCAGAACAAACACGACGGCAGGCCAATGTGTGATGAAAATGACAGGGAGTGGTCAATTATTGTAAGGGGAAGACTTTAAGCCGGCTAATATGCATGACAAATTTCAAACCACAGTGTAACCTCCAGTAGCCCTACCCAATATTATTTAATCTGGGATTAAAGCTGGTTTGCAGCAGACGAGCAAAGGATTTGTTGCTTGATTGGCACATTGAACTCGAGATTAAAATCGTGCCGTGTGCAGACTCAGAGCCAATCATATTTGCCCGAAAGGCTTTTCTGCATGTAGAGCATTTTTTCGTGTTACAGAATGCACTTCAAACCCCGCATACGCTACTGCATGTAATGTGTGAACCGGTAATGCCACCCATGCACGCTGACAAGTTTCCAGCATTGTTGACCAGACAGGCATGGAGAGTGGAGTGCAGTTTAAATCAATGATCGTCTCACTTACAAGTAACCCATGATTGCAGTTGGTAGGCTCGTATCAATCTTCTAAAGTGTTTTTTTCTTAACTTGTTTGTTTCTGTGCAAGCAGACTCGCAGATAATTTCCCATTGTGACAGCCACCAACATTCCGCTTTCAATGATGGGATGAACGTGTCTTAAAGCATGATGAAATGCGGACAATTCAGTAATTCCCAATTAATATAAGTGTCGTGTGCTAATTCACAGACACCAGTAGGAGGTACTCTCTCTTTTATTCCGGCCTTCACAGCCTTAGGGGATAACCACGTACCGGGTCTGGACAGCCAACATGCTGCCAGACCCACAGCTTGAAGAGGGCGAAGATCACAACGACGACGGCAGCACGACGAGTTCCACTCCAGATCGCAGCCAGGCTCCGCCCTCGGCCCCACGCACCCGTCTGGATCCCCCAGATTGCCCCGTGCTTTGCCCACAGGTGCAACTGGGAGAACGGGCTGTTACCCCTAATTCTATTGTCCACCAATCCCCCAGCGGCACGCGCTACAGTGACTCATTCCCTGTCACTACACAAGTATGGAGGAGTACAAGGTACAGGTGCAACCCTGCCATTTCTTGATCACACTACTGATGGAAAGACCTCTAATGGAAGGGTCTTCTATACAGTGCCACTTGAGGGTAATTTGGCCTACTCTTTCACGTTGGTTTGACGTGATGTAAAAGGTAGGAGTACCTAGAATGTACCCCACCACACGATGCAACCCACGTATGCTTCTGGGTGGACAGAGGTGGAATTCAAGACACTTGCCCATCCTTTTAACTGCTACGCTGGAATATTGAAGCGGAGACCTCTGGGTTGTCCCATGGTCTACCCATTGCGTTGCGGCAGTCACACGTCCCAGCGGTTAGCGCGTACGCCACTCGTTGCGGAGGAGTTCGTGGTTTGAGTCCAGCAGGCTGCCCTGGTTAATACTGCGTGCGTTTTAACCACAACATACAGGCCGTCTTCTTTACAGTGGATGTTCAAAATCCCCTGACATGATTTCAAAAACGAGTGGCCATAGTATGATACAAATTCAACAGATTTTAATAAAATTACTCAAAAAATTCTCAATTGGCATCACACGGAGCACCATCGCCCTCTCTTCTAAATGCACTGCAGACTCTGTAATACACAGCACCGTTGTTACTGCCTAAAGCTATACGAATGGGGCAAATACCAAATGTTCTTAATTATTCTTATCCGTACCACAAGCGAATCCTTTGTAAAGTAGTATCAATAAAACTTGAACAAGATAAAATCTGGCCCTCAAAATAACCCATAAAATATGCTCATCACTGTCAATATTTTCAAGAATCATTCGCAAAGGAGGTTAGTGTACAAACAACAATTGCATTCATATCCCAATGAAATGTGTAAATTCCCTTTCACGATATTATTATTATGCGTTATAAAACCACGGATCCTTGCCTGCTACGTCCATGCTACGCTCTGAAAGCAAGCCTACTGGGTCCAAGTTTCAAGCAAACAAAGTGATTCTGCGTTCTGGCTGAATAGCTGCACTGCGACTGGCACCCCAAGGTGATTTCTCTGTGGCCATCATCCCAAATGGCAGCAGTCAAACGAGGACTTCCTATTACACCCTGATGTAATTACTGACAGGACACAGGTGAGTGAGTGCGGGCAGGTGGGGAGTGGGTTAGCGTGATATTAAATTGCTGTCAATTACGGATGCAAAACTCCTCGGTGTGGGTCTACGTGAGTGGAATTTTGTCCGTATCGAATTTATTGCAAGAAAGGAGCCACGGGTACAGTGGATTATATATGGCGAGGCACCTTTCTTGCAGCAATGCTGGATTCAATAAATACATATTATCTCTCCCTGCCCAGGGCAGTCACAAAGACACGTGTGTTATTTTTTTCAATCAGTGGGATGACTGCTGGCTAATGCACCTTTGACAAAGCCTTGCCAGCTGTGACCTATGTGCGGTAATGTGGTCCTTGTTTTGTGCACTTTCACACAGCTCCTTTCACTCTGGGAACGCGTTCAGAGTTTGTGATTTACCGTTTACATTTACTGAAAGCTAGGTTGGGCATCTATTTCTAATTATTATCAGCTCTGTGCAACCTCCGTTGAGAATGCCGAAATGTACCTGTAAAGTGTAATGTGGATTGTGATTTTGTTTTTTTTACACGCACTTGCAGAACACAGGGCCCTGAGGCCCATTACGTCAGGCAGCCCATAACGTCAGGCAGCCCGCAACGAACGGCAATCACATAACTGAGATAGAAAACATTTAACAAGATTCGCGGATTGAGTATGGTTAGAAGAGTTTGGGGAAAAAAAAAAACGACAATGGGAGGGAATTTCTTAGTCGAGCAGCGCGATGCGGTGGCAGTGTGGGGTGTATGGGTGGATGAGCCTGGTAGACCAAGTGCTCAACATAGGGCAGAGGAATCAATGGGTAAAAGGTCACAGGAACAGTGAGCATGGTAGTAGCAATAGAAGAGTGATAAAGAGGTGCCTGGCCGCCGGTGAGCGAGTGACTGGAGTATGTGCTGGATTAAAGGTATGTGGATTAACAGTAGTGTGCACATTACCTGCTGGGGTGTTTGGAGATGTGGCTAGAGAGCCAGGCTGACATGTACACGATTCCTTATAATGTAGTGAGTGTTTGCTCAAACAAGCATGGTGCAGTGATCATTTGTGTTTGTCACTCTGGAACAACGGTGAAAAAATCCACGTTACCGTGAGAGGGCCAGTCTATCCTTTGAATTACTTCAGCAAAGTGCTATAAATGTACGGCGTGAAAATGTTTGCGTTGATATTTTCCTTATTGCCGAATATATCGAAGCTCAACCTGCAGGTCATGCTGAAAGCATTAAGGACTTTTGGAGCCCTGCAGGTCTTCTCTACCAATATACAGCAGGAGCAGCGAGCTGGATTTTCATGGCAGCCAGGAGCTAGGTAAAAGCAGGCGTTTGACCAGGAAAAAGCACCATTGACCGAATGCTGATCATCATAAATCGTAAATGTTCATTGAGAGAGAAAAACACATTCTTTCCAACAACTTAATTGCCTTCAAGCACTCGTTTGGCAGATGGCACACTGGCGAGTGGTAAGAATTCGTGGAGAACCTGAGAACCTGCAGTCACGAAAGCTTCAAATCAAGACTGATACAGGAGTCAAGTTAATAAAGAACCTAGACCATAAACCCTATTAGTGCAGCAGCGTGTGGATAGCAGGGTAACAAGAGGGTTCAGGATGAAGGTGGCAATGAGGTGCGAATGGCACCTTTCCCCTGAACTATCTGAACTTGTCTTACCACGAAATAGACGGATGTAGAAGGCCTTGGAGGCAGTGATGGAGGTGGAATGCCATGGCCATTCAGCTCCTTGTCCGCTGCCCTCACAACATGGATCTCTTTCACCCCAGCAATCCGTGTTGTCAGCTCCCTGCCTCTGGTTAAGTCGAGGATCAAGGTCCTCCTCTTCTCCTCTTTAGAATACCTATCCTAATGTATATTACCATCTACATGATACGCATGCCACGCTGTTTTGTACAGCATCTGAAGATGCCGTTGTAATGAGATGCTATATCCATCCGAATGGAGAGTGCATTGCATCGTCATCAGCCGTTGTCCATCCACCGCTGCATGTGATCATGGCAACGTTCTTCCAAAATCGATATGACCACCATTGGCATTCATTACCGTCGTACAATGCCATTGTTTATCTAATCCCTGCTACGTTTCTACGGGGGGGTCATCTTCTCGATCACGTGTTCTCCTTCAGCTGCAATCCCGTCACCAGTCTTGTCCATTGCCCAACATCCCGTCCATTGATGTGCTGTTGCCCAAGTCCACCTAACTTTTAACTCGACAATATAATACCCGTGCTATACCTGCTCTCTGATTCACGTGCCCCGCTTTCAGTCTCTCATTGTACTTCCAAACATTCATCTCCCCGTGCTTATTTGTGCACTACGTCAGCATTTCTTCCATTTTCTTTGCGTTTGTCAAATCCACGCATTATAAATAACGAATCGAAACACTGCTGCTTTGGTGAAAGTGGACACATGACTGACTGCAGCAGATCCCCTCTGTAGACACATGTGCTGGCAGCGTTTGATCCTTCTTTCTCGAGCCCTTTTGTGGGATTTTAGTAAGAGGATATTCAACATCAAAGCCAGACAGCAGGTAATGTGCTGCATTTATGCACGCGACTTGTGTGTCGCTCACCAACAGAAAGCTCTTTTATCAGAAGCACCGACAACAGTGTCACCAATTCGTGGGGGACGCGGATTTAACGGCGTTAAGAATCTCCACTGCGAGGCGGGAATACAGGTTGACGTTAGATAGTTTATGATTGACATGTTTTAATGGAACGGTGGAACACGGTACATTGACTGTGCCACGGGGTCCACATTCAGTACTGCAGGGTTAATTGCTGCACTTGTTATAAGGTCCCGCATGGCGTGGTTCATCTGTGTAACCCCGTATTCACACACATCCTCTGTCAGACCATATTTAGAAAGGAGATTTTAATCACAATAAGACTTACTGGATCAATAAAGGTTAAATAAATATGACCGTTTATTTTTTTGTGTGAGAGGAAAACACTCATGGATCGTGCCATTTGAGCATTTAATAACACCCATGTCTGCCCTCAGACTTGATCCGTGCAAATTTTCAGTTTGGGTTTAAAAGGGAGCTTTGTCGCGCAAACCAAATGCATTTGGTGCCACGTCACAGACAAGCAACAGAGATCAGAAACTAAGACTCTACAAGTATCCAAAACGTCATAAAATGTAATGAATTCATACAAATACCTAAAAAAAACATTGACTGGATTCTCTAGATTTGCGACCAATTTTGCTGCCAACACCAGCTGCCATACTGCTTGAACATAAATTATGCAAACAATGTTAAAGTATATATTCTTAGTTTTTTCGGTAAAGTCACGTTGAAGAGAAACAACAAAATAACAAAATATATATAAAACAATAAAAAATTCTCACGACGTTTCGACCATAACTCAAACGGTCATCATCAGGTGTGTCGGTTTGCATAAATTTATTTTGAAAACGGCATATTTATTTATATATATAAAAATAACGTTTGCGTCACGCGCAACGATGGCAGTTTGCCAGGACTAGTCCATCTATTTTTTTGAAAAGAGGAGGGGGGAGACGAAATATATATATAAATAAATATGCCGTTTTCAAAATAAATTTATGCAAACCGACACACCTGATGATGACCGTTTGAGTTATGGTCGAAACGTCGTGAGAATTTTTTATTGTTTTATATATATTTTGTTATTTTGTTGTTTCTCTTCAACGTGACTTTACCGAAAAAACTAAGAATATGAATTACTGCAGTCACGAAAGCTTTAAATCAAAATTTAATGTTAAAGTATTTTGATTTAAAGCTTTCGTGACTGCAGTAATTCATATTCTTAGTTTTTTCGGTAAAGGTCTAAACTTTGCAGTCACACCTAAACACATACCAGTTAATGATATAATTGCCCAAGTAGACGTTGCTCTCAGGGGCCTGGGTCACATCGCTGCAGACGTAGCAAGATCTGAAATCGCTGCAACCCTCAAAAACGCTAAGATGCCAGCTAGCAACCTCAGCAAAAATGCGCGTTTTGAATTATATAAATTAAAAAAGAGGAATGATATTGTAGTTCTCTCAGCTGACAAAGGCAATGCTACTGTTATCATGGATAAAATAGAATACAACAACAAAATTAAAGAATTACTCGACGATGGTAGTTATACAAAAATAAAAAGAGATCCCACCAACAGCCTCGTCACACAAACCAACAAAATAATTTCTTATTCAACCGCATTAATTGATCAATCTAAACAGTTTTCATTGAAACCTTCTGCTGCCAGGCCACCAAGATTATACGGCTTACCAAAAATACATAAAGTTGATACACCTCTTCGTCCCATAGTCTCTACTATCAGCTCCCCCACCTACAAACTAGCTCGTTTTTTGTCTGAAATCCTGCGTCCTTTCACTGGAAAGACCACCTCTGCGGTACAAAATTCTACTCACCTGGTATCAACAATCAAGGGTATTTCCCTGTCCCCAGACGACCTGCTTGTCAGTTTTGATGTAGTTTCCTTATTCACCAAGGTTCCTGTACCTGACACCATTGCAATCATTGAAGACTTGGTTCATCAAGGACTAAACACTGAGGTACCCCCCCTGGTGAGACACTGTTTAACCAATACATACTTCACTTGGAATGGAACTTTCTACAAACAAACTGAGGGCACCCCAATGGGCTCCCCCCTTTCTCCAGTTATAGCTAACATTTTCATGGAGAAATTTGAGACTGACGCCATCCAGACTGCCACTCTGCGCCCAACATTATGGAAGAGGTACGTGGATGACACTTTTGTCATCTGGCCACATGGCCGGCCTGCTCTAGACCAATTCTTCGACCACATCAATTCCATACACCCAGCCATCAGATTTACCATGGAAGTCGAAATAGATGGCAAGATACCTTTTTTGGATGTCCTAATTAAAAAGAGACCTGATGGTTCAATGAGCCACTCTGTCTACAGGAAAGCTACCCATACGGATGCTTATCTGAAACCGGATTCCCACCACCATCCATCACAGAAGAATTCTCTCATCAAGACTCTGTATCATAGAGCCCAATGCATATCCGACCAGGAACACATAAGCAGTGAACTCAAGCACGTACACCAAGCTCTTAGGGCTAATGGTTACTCCGACTATACAATCCGCAAAGCTATCACTCAAACCATGAAGAAGAACCCTCTTGAGGAGCCTTTCAAAACCATCACTTTACCCTACATTGCTGGGATCACAAAAAAGATCTCCAAAATCTTGAATAAACACAAGATCCAGGTCCGTTTCAACACATTACATAAAATCCGTGATCTGGTTCCGTCTGTAAAAGATGTGATTCCGGACATACAATACCCTGGTGTCTACAAACTAAGTTGCCTCTGTGGTAGTAGTTACATTGGAGAAACCAAACGCCATATCTCGGACCGCATTCGTGAACATAAAGCAGACCTTAAACACGGTAGGACCAACACCTCGGCCGTAGCAGATCATTGTTCTAATTCAGTAGGCTCACATGCCATTGACTTTTCCAAGACGGAGGTTCTTTGTAAGCCATCTGGCTTCCATGAGAGATTCGTTCATGAGGCTATCCACATATACAAACACAGAGACAATTTCAACCGAGAAGATGGATTCTATCTTAGCAATCATTGGAAAGATTTGATAAATCATTTCAGTTCTTGATTGATTGTTCACGCTTACAGTGGCTTTCAGACAGCATACATAAAAACAAATTTCGTCTCCCCCCTCCTCTTTTCAAAAAATAGATGGACTAGTCCTGGCAAACAGCCAATCGTTGCGCGTGACGCAAACGTTATTTTTATATAAATAAATAAATATACCTTTTCAAAATAAATTTATGCAAACCGACACACCTGATGATGACCGTTTGAGTTATGGTCGAAACGTCGTGAGAATTTTTATTGTTTTATATGTATTTTGTTATTTTGTTGTTTCTCTTCAACGTGACTTTACCGAAAAAACTAAGAATATAATGTTAAAGTAGTTTATATAATAACCACTGTCAACGAATATGCACGGGCATGTATGCGCAGTGGCCCGGTCCATGCGTTTGTGTGAAGACAGTACCAGAGAGCCAACTGTTTTAAAGATGTTTAAAAAAAATGCAAAATTATTAACAGAATTATAAAAGGTAGTGTAGAGATTGGCATGGAAGTTTAATGAAAAGAAAGAATCGTAAAATGTGGTAAAGTTGTAATGGCTCTCTTACTGGTACACAGCTCTAAATATAATGGAGCATAGATGTGGCTAGGTGGCTTAGGAGTCACGGCAAGAAGCCAGCACTGCTGAGATCCAGGGTTTCAATCTGCTTCTCAGCCACGCCTTAACCAGGTTTTCAAGTGTAGTAAGTTGAAGGTTTCAACATGGTGACTAATGATTGCACCCCCCCCTCACTATCATATTAAATTTTAATCTTCACTTTACTTTGATTAAAATACATCTGTGAAATGTACACCATTCGCTAAACAAGCAATAAACAACGTGCAAGACAGTGCTTGATTCTGTTTGTTGTTGCTGGTAAATGTCTATTGGACCACTGTGAAGAAGAGTTTCTCGCAGCTCATCGGATTCCTCCAGTATAAACAATTATTCTGATTCTAAAATGAATAATATCGCATTTCGTAGCCCGTTCTGAAATATGCGAAGTTGCATTTCTGCGTGAGAGTTTTGAACAAACAATTTGTTTCATGATGCGATCTTCATATTGCACAATTGCAGTAAAACTGGGGATTTTTTAAAAGTCAAAGTTAAAGTGTCTCCCTGCTGAAAGAAGTCACCCCATATCTCCAATGATGACCCAGTTATAAGTCACACAGTCGGTCTTTCCAAAGGAAGATCAGTGTTGTCCCTAGTTGGATGATGAACCAAGTAAATCCACACCCAGAATTTGAAGGAGCAACCTTCGAATTATTAAACGCCCTACCCAAAGTGCCACTTAGCAGAATAAATAATCTAGATTCATACTGAAGTGTTCACTAATGCCATGTATAGTTACGTCAACTCCTTACATGTCAACATGGCTCAATTCGGCATCATGTATTCTGCTTGTTATAAAGCACTGTTTTTGCAGATAGTGGATAATGACCATGAATTTGTAGAATGTTGGTGCACAGTACTGTGCTGAATTTGACCCACAGTGTGTGGAAGGGCTATTTCCTGTAACGCTAGGAAACTTTGTTGAACAGCACTTGTTTTAACGTGTCGACGATGCGTTGAGACCCGGCTAGGGTTTTTCTACTTGGACAACTTTTACTGTAAAACATTTGAGCAGAATGCCTTTTTACTGATTATAAACTAAATATTTTATTTTTTTGGTGATGAAACAGACCCTTGTCTGCTTATTATTGTATTACCCTTAATCTACCAATATAGCACTTAATGATGTTATATCTGTGTCTATAGCTATATAAATAGCCAAACAGACTCCAACACTCCATATCAAAGAAATATCTTGATTACGGTGATTTAAATGTATCATCACCTCCTCTTTAACTATCTTCACCACTGATAGCTGAAATAAACCTTCAACCTATAAGAACAGCAACCTTATACCATTGCTGCTGCAATGGTTTCTGTGACGCCGTGTGACGAGGGGGGGGGTCAAAAATTTTCCAAAATCGCGTGACGTCATTTATGGACGGCCCCTATATGGTAGCATTATGGTTTTCTACAGCTATGATTCTCCGCATATAGGTTGTATTTGTTTTGGGTATGACCATTTTATCCTGAGAATGCTATAAACGCCTTGGATTCTCTAAGCCTCTGTGTGCCTTAGTGACCTGGGCTGGCTCTTTGAGCCTTGGTTCAGTATTTATTGGCAATAATTTATAGGGCAATAAATCCTGAACCCAAAAATCGTAAAACTGCCCTAGTCTGGCTGCCCGTGTGTCATTTCATCAATGTGTGTGTGTACACATACAGCATATATGTGCTATATATATATACACACACACACATAGGCTGTAAACATATTTTTCAATAAACGTCTAAATATTACAAGTTAATGTAAATAAAACTATAGACGATTATCTGTCAAATATTGCGACACGCTGTGACGTCCAAACATCCGTTGACTTTCTGGTGGCAGGCACGACTTATTCATAAAGCTCCTGTGCCCATATGGCGAACGCCATCATAACAAAAATCAGGCCACAACTTGGCCTGTTTTATCTATTAAGCTCCGTCGCATATGTAATGTTTTGGAAGAAGCGGGAGAACAGCAATCACTAAGAAAATGGCTTTGTTATACTGCCTATTCGGCTTTGATAAGCCAAATTGCTTACT